CACACAACACATCTAACAAGTACACGTGTTCACACATGCGCACACAACACATCTAACAAGTACACGTGTTCACACATGTGCACACACAACACATCTAACAAGTACCTGTGTTCACACATGCGCACACACAACACATCTAACTCAGTACAGCATGCAAGCGTAACATAAAATGTATCTCTACTTTAAAATTGTTAGTAATAATTTAGTGATCAAACACTACTTTCTATGTCGTGTCAACTGCAAAACTGTCCACAGGGAGCCTAAGGACACATAAGCAGCAGGGCGCCCACTCTCTCAGACGGACAGCCGGAGCCAACCCAGCAACGCGCAGCGCCAGGCAGGCAAAGCCTGCTCCTACAGCCACCAACAGTCTCAGCCAGACCAGTGGCCACGTGTGATTCACCCTACAGACAGTGAGTGTCGCCTCATCTCTGTCCACAGGGACCACACACACCCAGGCCAGGACTCACTGTGGCAGAGAATCCCCAGTCAGCTCGGTGGGTGAATTCACTGATTTTCACCCTCCCTCTCTCCCACCGGCTCTGTTTCTGTCCACGGCATCTATTGATCATTAAAACCGCTATATCCTGTCTGCTCTGCGAATAAACACTGAGCGCCCTCACCGTGGGCCCGCTGTTCCCACCCCAGCACTGAGGAGTTGAGAAGTGATAGTCCCGGCTTCGGCCAGTCTCCGGGAGGCGGGAACGTCAGCTTTGAAAATAAGCACCAGAAGCCCAAGGCTGTGCTCCCTGTCAGCAGAGACGCCCAGGCTCCGGGTTTCACACCTGCTGCTTTGGCCTTTATGTCCTTGGCACATTTATTCTCTCATGTTTCAGTCTGTCTCCCCAAAAGGCGAGAACAGTGTGTGCACCGGCCTGTCACCTTCTCACCAGTGTCCCGGCCTGAGGCCTGAGTGACGAGCCGAGCATGGGTCCTGGCTGCAGCTGAGGAGCCACCCTCCCCACGCTGGCGAAGGCCGGCGCATCATGCCACCTCACATGATGTCATGACCCAGGACTTCGCACTGTGTGGTGTGGACAGGAATGGCCCCAGGGGCCCCTAGAGCCGGTCACCAGGGAGAGGCACCATTAGGAGGTGTGGCCTTGTTGAGGAAGTGTGTCACTGGGGTGGGCTTTGGGGTTTCAGTTGCTCGAGCCAGACCTGGCGTCTCTCCCTGTGGCCTGTGGATCCAGACAGAGCTCTCAGCTTCTTCTCCCAAGAGTCCGCCTTTCCTGCCCTGCCTGCCCATGGTGACAATGGACTGAACCTCAGAGAGCTGTGAGCCCGCCCCAGTTAAACGGTTTCCTGTATGGGAGTGCCTCGGGCGAGGGGTCTCCTCATAGCAATGGAGCCCTGGGCAGGAAGGCTCCTCCACCACTGTGTGACACTAAGGTGGACCGGAAACACTCTCCATGGCAACATGGACACTCCATGGCAAGGGGTCACGGGACTGCCATGCGTGCCCGGAATCACCGGGCAGGCGGGTGGGCTCACGGGGAGGGCAGGCTCATGGGACAGGGCGCTCTGCACACGCCCTGCCTGCTGGCTGCCGTGCGGGTAATTACAGCACCTTACAGATGGCCGCCCACCGCAATGTCCGAGTGTCCCCCACCTTTAAACAGGACACCTAGGCAGCCAGCCCCGCTGCAGGCCCCGCTCCTCGCCTGGAGGGCGGCTGCCAGGGCGCAGAGGGCGGCAAGGCTCCTTACCCCTTCCCGGAGGCACCTCATGAGCACGGTGTATGCCGCCAGGGGCACCGGCCAGCATTCCCTGGAGTGCTGTTTTCTTTCTTCCTAAGAAATGAAGGTGAGGAAAGACAGTGAGGGCGAGGCCATGGAAGAGCCTCATCAACCGAGAAAAACTTCACATCTGAAGCTTTCCGGGGGCCGCTGGGATCACAGCTCACATCTGACAGGTGGACCTGACCCAGGCCTATTTACTGCCGTGCACACACACACACACACACACATACACGCACGCACACACACACACACAATAGCACTAGTTATCTGGCGTGAGGAGAAATACAGAACTGTCAATTCTTACCAACGCCTGGGCTCTGGCAGCCTCAGGCGAGGCTGGGCCATTCTCCCTGTACCAACTTTAAAGCAGACAAGAAGCAGAGAAAAGCAGAGGGAGGAGAAATGTGCTGGGAAGGTGAAATCAGGTCAGGCCCTACACGAGGGGGCACCAGGTCAGGGCACCGGGTCGGGGCACCGGGTCAGGCCCTGCACGAGGGAGCACCAGGTCGGGGCACCAGGTTGGGCACACACTGGGAGTCACGCTCCACCAGACACCATGTCCTGACAGGGCAGCCCCCTCCCCTCCATGGGCTCAGGGCTTCATTCCCAGCCCGCTTTCTTCAAGCCTTGGGTAACAGACTGTCCTCTATCTCTCCTAGGCAAATGTGTCTCCTCCCCACGGAATCTCCCTCTGTGGAGGATCCGAAGTTCAAGGACATCCTCAACCACACAGCCTGCTCCACGCCAGCCTGCGCTGCGGGACGCGGTCTCCTTCCACCTCACCCCCATACGATCACCTCATCCTGGCTTCTCGGCCCCTCAGCCCACTCTACCTGACTCTGCAGAAAACGGTGAGTGCTGAGTCACTAGCCACTTCTGTGCACACCTGTGGTGTGAGGTGTGCTCGTGTTCACAGGCGTACAGGTGTGCGTGACAGCCGGAGGCTGACCCTGCCCTCCTTCATCACTGAGGAAGTCTCTCACTGACCTAGCCACCCCCTCGCCTGCTCTGGGGATTCTGTCTCCCACACTCATGGCTGCTGAGGATCTGAGTTCCGGTCCTCACTTTTCATGGCAACCCTCTTCACTGCTGAGGGGTTGGTCTGCTTGTGTTTGGATGCTAATTACTGAATCTCAAGATCCCCTCGCCGCCCAGACACACCTGTCCTTGTCAGAACCTGCCTAAGACAGTTCTGCTCGGTTAGCAATAAAAGCTTGTACCGGCAGGGCCGGAAGAAGGTGGGCAGAGCCAAGGCTCAAGGGCTTGGAGAACAGAGAGGATCTTGGGAAGAAGAGGAGGAGAGATGGTTATGTGGAGAGAGAACCATGTGGGCCTGGAGGGATTACGAATGGAAGGCAGCCCAGCTAGAGCCTTTAGAGCAAATGGGATGTGGAGACACGAGAGGGCAGAGGGGGAAGCATCTGTCCAGCCCAAGGGGTTACAAGGCAATGATAAGCTCTCAGGAGTGTCTGTGTCTTACTGATTATACAGCAGGTTAAGTGACACCGCCATAATAATGACAGGCTGATAATAAATATATTTAGCCTGACACCATTTGTTTTCAGCCTCAACCCAGTGAGCCATCTACTTTATCCCCCAAGTCATGGGTAACTTGTATGTCACCTTCCAGTACACGCTCTTTAGTCTGTTACCTTCAACACCACTAGGCCCCGTGTTGCTCCCTTTCCTCAGAGGCCCACGGCTGCGTCCTCATGGAACCTGGGAATCCTCATTTTCCATCTAGTCCCTCCACGTAAACCAGAGTGGACCTGGGCACCCACCCTAACACCTCAGGGAGCTCTCCTCCTTGGGGTGAGGGTGTGTCTGGGCCAAGGCTCTTTCACTGTGTCTCTCCAGCCTCCTCCCTCTCCCTGCTCACCTCAGGGGCCTGCATACGTGCATTTACTGACTTGTGTGGTGCTGGGGACTGAGCCCTGGGGCTCACACACGCGGCTACATCCCCAGCCCTCCACAGGATATTTAACTAATGTGTACTTAGACCCGGAACTTCTAAACAGCAGCCACGCGGCCGTGATGGGACAAAGCCGACTAAAGAACAGACACAGGAACACGCGCTAAAGAAAATAAACCAACCATGATGGAGACGCTACCCAGAAAGCCCAGAAGGGGCAGAGCTGTGGGGACTGCAGACAGGCCACTCAGGAGCCAGGAAAGGCTGTTCAGGTCCACTTGAGAGAGAAACGCAGGTGTCATGAGAGACAGTGGCAGGAGCAGGGAAAAGAGTGCGCGCAGACGAGGGCACAGTGGGTGGGGCGGGTTAGCAATGAGGGGAAGGGGAAGAGACAAAACTTTAAAAATGTCATCATTTGAACCCAGTCAGAACGTGCAAGGCTCGAAAGTGTGAGACGTGACCAGGCCGAGGTTTACCAGAGTCTAGTCAGCGATAGGCGAACAGAAGGCACACTGCTGTTCAGCTGCCCTTCAGCACCTGCCGTCGGCTGTCCCACAGTCACCTTCACAACCGCGCAAAGCAGAGTCTCATCTAGACAGGAGCCCTCACAGTGGGAGCAGCGTCCTCCCCTGCCCGAAGGGCCCAGACAGCAACCACCCGTCAACTGCTCTGGGCTTTTTGGAACATGGCTGAGACCCCCTAAGCTAAAGGAGCCAAAGACGCAGGACCGCAGAGGCACTGACCAGAAAGGACAGTGTCCTAAGTGAGCTGGGGTCTGTGGGAGACAACAGGGGTGTGGGGCCCGTGGGACGGCCTCACCTGGGTGGCTACGAGGTAGAGAAGCTGTCCGAGGGTGGGGAGGAGGCACTGCTTCAGCTTGGCACTCCTGAAGTTCTCTCGGATCAGTTCAGTCAGGAGCGTGATCGCCTGCGGAGGGGAGAGCAGCCTGTCATTTCAGGGGTCCTCGCGCCGCTCCGTCTGAGAACACGGTTAACAAGCACTTTAAGCAACTTCCCGTGAGCTGCATAAACACCCAGAAGCAACAAACTGTGTTATTATCTCTATTTTATCAGCCAGTGAGCATGGGCAGGCGCGCATGTGCTGCAGCACGGGGAAGAGGACGGTGGCTCTCCCCTCCACTGTGGGCCCCTGCAGGAGTGTGCCGTGAGATACAGCTGGGAAAGCCTGCGTTCCCAGTGTTTCTTCAGGGGCCCTTTGACCCCAGGCACAGTCTTCTCTTTGCCGTAGTCTCTGAAGTCCATGTGCACGTGGCCACACTGTGTGTCATTCTCTTGATTCTTGCATTGAGATGTGCCCGTGTTGCTGTACACACTGATGCCCCACGCTTTTCTGCTCTCACGTAATTTTTCATTGCAAGGATACGGCACGGTGTGCTGTCCGTGTCTGAAGTACTTGCTAAGGGAATTACATGGTTGTGGTGCTCGACCCACAGAAAGCCGCGCCTCACTCTTCTGTTTCCTCTTCACCGACTGTCGCTAAGAACCACACTCAGGCCTTCAAACTGCCAGAAAGTTGTTATCTACAAAGTTAGCAAATTGGTCACTAACTAATTATAGTCCCCTTTGAGTGAAAGCACATAATTCTAAAGAGAAAGCAAAGGAAAAAATAAGGCAATTTAAAGTGTAGGAAGGAAAGCAAGAAAAAGTAGATAAAAACAGAAAGAGTGACCAAATTATGTCTGATGGCTAAGGCAAAAAGTATAGAATTACACAACCTGGCTCTGATGTATTTAGAGAATATATTTTAGATAATTACATAAAAAATAAAGAGTTTAAAAGGGGGGAATTTTCTATACCTCACTTGAACTAGTAAAATAATGATACCATGATAAGTTAATATAAGAACAACTACTAAAACAAAATCTACACAAGAGAAAAATCCAGTAATACTACAGGAAAAATGAAATTGCATATTTAGCAAAGTCCAAGAAGGTAGTAAAAGGGAAACAAGCAAAAGAAAATTAAGGCAAACAGAAAACAAAAGTCAATTGTCAAATGTATGATCAAATATTTTAATAATTACATTAAGTGTAAATGGCATAAATACAGCAATTAAAAGACAAAGGCTGGAAGAATTAAAACAAAGTATGACCCAACTATGAGCTGCCTACGAGAAACTCACATAGAAGTTTAGTGAAACTGGTAGGTTGGTTGTGACAGATGAAAGAAGATGTGGCAGCAGTAGTAAGTGGAAAGCAATGATGGCTGCATTGACAGCAGAGACTTCAGAGCAGAGCAAAGACTGTTAGAGACCAAGAGAAACCTTAGATGATAGTAAGGAAGTCAGCAACTACATATATTTATACACATAAACAGACATACATACATGTAGACATGTATATACATAAATATACCAAATACATGTGTATGTCATATCCATATGTATATCGTTTACAGACATGTAAACACATGCTTACATACATGCATATAGTACATCATAACCATAGGCATGTATGCACACTTGTGTGTATATGTGCAGACATTTGTGCGTACATGCCTACATCATATGCACAGGCATGTCTACATACAATTGTTCACATACATGTATATGTACATATCACACACACACATCCTAAATGTGGATACCCAATAAGAGAGCAGTAAACAATGTAAGGTCAAATCCCAGAAGGTTTGCAATAAATAAATAAATAAATAAAGACGAACCAGGCATGGTGGCACCCACCTTCAGTCCCAGCACTTGGAAGACAGAGGCGGGCTGATCTCTGAGTTTGAGGCCAGCCTGTTGAACAGAGCGAGTTCCAGGTCAGCCAGGGCCGCAGAGAAACCCTGACTCTAAAAAAAGAAAGAAAGAACAACCCACAGTCGCGGCCCTGGACTTCAAGGCCCATTTCTTAGACTCAGAAGACCAGACACCACAGCCTCACTGTGATGTGAGATTAGGATGGGGTTAGCAGAGGTTGGGATTGAAATTACATGACATTACTTCAAGAAACACACTGAAGGAGGCCTCACAGGGAGGAGAGCTGGTGTTTGTGACAGGGCAGAAAGGCTTCCACAAGAGTGTGCAAACCAATGTGACAACCCCACAGGGTGACTCGGTGTCACGCAGTCACCTGGGAAACACAAGCCACCCTCAGCCACAACCCTGCACAAACAGTTCACTCAAGTGGACCTACAAATCACCTGGAGAGATCCTGACGTGACCGTTGCCGCCTCGGGCTAGGAAAACTAACCAAACATGGAAGGCGTGCAGACGCCACACCAAAGAGGATGGACGATTGGACAATTCAGTGCCACAGGAGTCAGGGCAATGCAAACGAGCTCCCAAGTGACACTCCACTGCTCACCTATCAGAACGGCCAAAATAAAACTTACAAGTGCTGTCAAAAGCGGGTGGGATGGTGAGAGGCCCCCCAGCCTCACCTCGACGGTGGGGTGCGGATCAGCGCAGCCATGCCGTAAACCAGCTCAGTGTATACTGCAACGCACACAGGGGCAAGGGCCGAGCTGTCCATAAAATGCCACCTCAGAAGCCAAGCTGAGGAGGTGGCAGTGGCAGGCCTTTGCCAGGCAGGCAAAGGGGTGGGTGCAGCTGCACTGCAAAAATAAACAACCAAAGGAGCTGTAAAACTCGGCAACGTTCTCCTGAACACTACCCTGGAGAAAGGGTTTATAAAGAAGATTTGTTTGTACCCCCTCCCAAAAAAAGCCTGTTTCCAGGAGTTTTACTTGTAATTCTTAAAAGTGGAAAGGACCCAGATGTCTGTCAAAGAGCTAGTCTTTAACTACATGGGGCATGAATGAGCCATGGAGGCTGCTTCAGGGAAGAAAATGGGAGAAACTGCCGATAGAGACCCCGCAGACCGAGCACACGGCTACCACGCTGCAGGAGAAAAGGCCAAGGTCCGTGCTGCGCTCTCGAGGCTGCAGGAAGGGCAGAGCAGAGATGGGGGAAGAGCCTGGTGGCCGTGGGCCGTGAGTGCACTCCGGAGGAATGCAGAAGAGGCTGTGAGGCTCTCCTGCGCCTGCTTCCCTCGGTGGTCCTGAGTCACCCCACCGGTGCAAGCTCTGGGGAGACCAGGTTAAGTGCACGCACTCTGCAGACTTCCTGCATGAAAATAAACCCTAACCTTGAATTAAAGACCAATGTTCACAAAACCAAGGACATCCTACACTCAAATCTCACGCTAGAGGCTTTCTGTTCCCAAAGCTTGTTGCTCGAACTCCCGGCATTTCTGTTATGACCCCCTGGTGTTTGTGCTGGAAGTGCCTCCAGAAACTGAGACTATTTTAACACTGCGCCCTTAGAGCCGTAAACCCAGGGCCACAGACAGTGTCCGGTAGACAGACACACAGCAGGAGAGTACTCCAGCCCACCTGTGAGAGCCAACACGGAAGCACTGATCTCTGCAACATCAAGTTATTTGTTCCCATCTATCATTACGTTTTTATTAAATATTAACATTAAAAGGGAAGAAGGGGGCTGGAGAGGGGACTCGATATTTAAAACACTTCTTGCTCTTACAGAGAACGGGAGTTAATTCCCAGCACCTGGGTGGCAGCTCACAGCTGTGTGTAAGTCCAGCTCCAGGGCACCCTCCGCTGGCTTTTTCAGGCACACACAAGGTGTACACCCCACACATAAAATAATCAGTTCTGTTGTTTGGTTGTCTTTTTGAGACAGGGTTTCTCTGTGTAGCCTTGGCTGTTCTGAACTCGCTTTATAGACCAAGCTGGCCCCAAACTCACAGCAATCCTCCTGCCTCTGCCTCCCTGAGTGCTGGGATTACAGGTGTGCATCATCACACCTGACTATAATCAGTTCTTTTCAAGAAGAAAAAAATTATTTTAAAAAAATGGAACACATAACGCACATATTAAAAAATAAAAGATTCTTTTAAAAAAAGGAACACACACGGATGAAATGTTTTTGTTGACAGAGGTGCAATCTCTTGAGAAAGGTGACCACAAATCAGAGTGAAAGGTAAAACAGGTCAGTTTTTCTCGAGCCTGCCTACCCGGGCTTGACCCTTGAAGTGGTCCTCTAAGCTCATGCCACGTGGGCTCACACACAGACAAGAAAGGAAGCACTGGCAGAGCCCAGCTGCTGCCCAGTGAGCGCTGAAGGCAGAGATCCCGAGTGCAGGGCATCCCCTCAGAGCCCAGCTGCTGCCCAGTGAGCGCTGAAGGCAGAGATCCCGAGTGCAGGGCATCCCCTCAGAGCCCAGCTGCTGCCCAGGCCACGGCACTAACAACCCTTCCTCTCTGTGGAACACACACTCTGTGAACAGCTGCCAGGACCCGAGTTTACCTCAGTGGTCACTGGTGGCCGCGCGTCCTGCCTCCCACCCGTCCCTGCCTTCCTGGACATCCCAGAGCTGGCACAGGCCTGTGCGGCCACACCTGCTCCATCCTCAGAAGAGGCAGGGAGAGAGCCTCCCTTCTGCCATGTGGGTCCCAGTTCCTCTCCCCAGAGCCACTGCCGGGCTGTGTGTCTGGGGCCGGAACTGTGCTCAGAGCCCCCAGCGCACTGCTGGCTGGCTGGCTGCCTGCCTGCCTGCCCATTAACGGCATTAATGGCTCCCACAGCAGTCCATCTCAGTGTCCTGTGGAGTCCACATGAGACCTTTCACTTTTAAACACTGCAGTGCTCAACCTTGCCATGCAGATAAAGTGTCAAAACCCCTTTGCCCATCTCTGGCAGGGGCAGGCTCTTACCGGGATTATTTCACATTAGATAAATGTGATAGACTCATGGCTGAGCTGGCAAAAAAAAAAGAAGGAAAAAAATCAAATTCCAAAGACCAAAAGGGGGCAGACAAAAAAAGAGGGGAAATAAGAATTAAGAAAGTAGGAATCATGGCGAGCTCACAGGAGGCTTTAACTCAGGAGAAGACATGGCGAATCTTGAAATGACTTTGAAAGGGAACAAGAGACAAACCCAGG